AAGGGCACAAAGATGGAGTACCATTTTCGGGATACCAGGCACGCCGAGCACAGGTCGCTAGAGGAGATCCAAGGCGCGATAATCGTCCATGCCTCGCGACTGACTGCGCTTTCGTAGGAGGGAGGGACATCGGGCTTCATGGCGGTGGAGATGCGGTATCACAGTGTGTCATGGTGAGTGACGCACCGTGCGAAATTGAAGGATTCGAAGTTGAAGGACGCACAACGGCAGCTATAGATCTCCTCACTGGGGATGTACCAAGAAGACCAAGAACTAACGGAGGCAGCGCGAAAACAGTGGACGCAGTATGAATGGATGTCGAGGCTCGGGACGAGTTGGGTGGTAGAGGGCTCTAGCGTCGTATCGCCGCATCATCGTGGCGAGGAAGCGTCGTTGGTCTCACGTGCAGGGTTCTAGAAGGTATCCCGGGCAGAGGTAGCCTGGCCAAGCCTAGAAACAGGCTAGCCCCATGCAAGTGCGGGAGAGTCCAAGGCTCCCTGGGCACCAATGACGCCCGAGAGGTGCCTTGGATGACTCTCTCGAGGCGAACTTGGGGGGCTTCTCATGCCCATCATCGCCCACCACTCACCATCCGGTCACAGGCATCAACAATAGGCCCTCAGTCCACTTTCATGTCGACCGGTCTGGGGGATTCGGGTTGGGCGGTTATGTAGCATTGTCCCCTACATTTATTGGCACATGATTCTGAGGATTTGCGAATACGATCAGATCAAGGCTCATGGTGTGCCACTGTCGTGACAGCAGATGTTCTATAACCACTTTTCATTTCCTACATTATTTGCAGCCCCAGACAAAACTCGGGTGGGGTTCATGCCGAGCACCTTTGCAGCCTCATCCAAACAATGTACCCATGTCATGCTATACAAGAAGAGCGCCATTTTGCGCTTTGGCCGCCAACCAAGTGAGAAAATGAACAAGGGCTCCCATGACTCCCCTTGGGTATCAATATCTTCCGTTTACATCACATAGAGTAGGTCGGTATCTGCAAAGGTTCCAGTGTCAGTAAATTGCACGACGGAGCGCTGGTCAACGGAGACTTACTCAGTGGGTGTGAACAACTCAGCTGGGGCTTCTGCGTATATTTTGTAGCCAGTTCGTCTCGGATGCTGTTTAACAATTGCACATAGCTCTGGTGCGGATTCTTCTTCAGCGCCGTCACAAAAGCCCAGCTCATGGCTCCCGTGGCTTCGCCTCCAATGTTGGCATCCTGGCTGGTCTGTTCGTCTTTACTGCCAGACCACATGATCACGTCGGCAGGGCTGGTCTTGGTCTGCTTGTTTCGTTCGTACGTGGCATTTCCATTAGCAGCCCTCTTGAATAACCCCATCGCCGACGAGGCCATCCCGCTCAAATCACCACGAGCATATGATGAAACAATCGACAAAAGGCCTTGACCTGCTTCCTTGGCCAAGTTGGGTTCTTTGAGGACTCCTTGGGTCGAATAGATATATGGAAGATCGAGGGCGGATCCGGAATGACACGAGTCAAAAATGGCGGTGAGTCGGACACCGGGCTGTAAGGGTTTGACCATGATACGATGCATTTCGTCGTCGACGATATGACCTGCCGTCCGGAAATCCACAGGATAGATCACCTCGTCATAGCCGTCTTCTTCATCTCCGTCGAGATCGGGAGTCTGGCCGCCGTGGCCGCTGTAGTGAAAAAACAGGGAGTCGTTGGGCCGAGCGTCCTTCACCAACCAGTGCATGGCTCGGAGTATGTTGGCTTTGGTCGGCTGTGACATTGGGTTCTGCTGATCATCGGTCAAGATGACCATGTCTTCTCTGGCATAGCCAAAGTTCTGATTCAAATAGGTGGACATGTTCTTGACGTCGTTGATGCATCCTCGGAGTTGGCCTCTCTGACCAAAGTAATTGATGCCTATCAGCAGCGCCTTGCGTTTTCCTGTGCAGTTCGAGTACTGGAAGCTATAGCCAGGAGGGGCTCCGTGACCGAACTGTTGCGGTGCCGTGGGAGGCGGAGGAGGGGCTTGGTGGTTGCCTTGCGAGTAAGAGTTGTTGGCATAAGTAGGCATGCCCGGTCGAGGACCTGCACAAGCTAAGCGATGTGGCTTCACCTTTAGACATGAAGCAGACATACCTGGATAGCCGTTTGGCTGAGGAGGAGGAGATCCATACCCGCTATATCCGCCTTGTTGTGGTGGAGGAGGATTGTTGTAGCCATAAGGGGCCACCTGCGGCGGGGGTTGACCGTAACCACCAGGAGCTCCGTAACCTTGAGCAGGATATGGCTGAGGCGAATGTGACTGAGGAGGATAGCCTTGAGAATAGCCCTGGGCAGGATATGGTTGTGGTGAGTGTGATTGAGGAGGGTATCCATAACCGCCGTGCTGTTGCGCACCGTAGCCGCCAGAGCCTGGATAGAAAGACATGGCTGCCGACGAGCTCGATAGGCGAGAAAACGAGGATGTCGAGTTGTCGAGAAAGGGTCGGGTTGTGGTTTTGGGAGGCTTCTTTGAGGGTAGAAGGATACAGTGGATGACCGAGAAGGTGCCCTGAGGCGGCTTGTAAGACGAATTTGAACTTCTGGAGATAGAATTGGGCCGCCTCGCCGCGCCCCGGTGGTCAGGGACTTGTTTTTAGTTTATCGAAAAGGTGGAGTCGAGGGGTTGACGTGTGTTCGTATTAGCCGAGTCAAACAAGCGAGGAGGTCACCAGGGTTGGCCCAAGAGATTACAGAGTACGAAGAACGGAGTACTCGGTACAAGATGTTGATTGTTGATGCAATCAGGTGGATGATGGTGGCGATGGATGGGTTGACGAAGGTGGCAGTGGTGGCAGCAGTGGGCAGTTGTGGTTGATGAGCTCCAAGCTTCGATGAAGCTGCGCACCTGCGCTGCTACTGACCCCCTTCATCTATCAACCCGTTTACTTGTCATCCAGCATCACAACCACCACACAAAACACCACCCGCCCGAAAATCCGTGAACTAGCTGACGCATGCTATGGCTTAGGTCCCTTTTGGTCCCTTGGTCCTTGTCACTCTTTGGCTCTTTGGACCCCGGCTCGCTGGCCATCTTTGTGGCCTCGGTTAGCGGGGATTTGGCTACGCCCAGTCTTTGACTCGGTACCGGGGTTTGTTTTCGACGAGTCCAGCCCTTGCCGTCCTCCTTTCCCACCTACCATCTACCTAAGCACCAGCCACCCGATCGAGAAGGCGTTTGTCCATACAAACATGATGATTCCTGAAACAGCCTGTACCCGCCGAGAGCTATCCCTGGGCCCCTGCAGCTGGTAACAACATCAAATCGATATGGATGTGTCCATAGGGAGACTGGCAATACGCGGCGTCTAGGAACTCAATCTTCCTTGGGCGAATGGAGCTGAGATACATTTTGGTCATTGCACTACCGAGAGGTCACACCTCACATCCTTGAACCCACTCTCGTCTGTCCATCAAGGAGACCTCTCCACAAGTCATGTCAATCATGGCTTTGCCAGTATCTCCCGCTCATCGGTGACCAGTTGTCCACGTGGCGTACATCTTCATCCTCGCGAGACCTATCCGCAGGCCAGCTCGTCTCTACATGCAGCATCAGCAGACGCTTTAGGAACTGCCATCGTCGGTTACTGCTAAAATGCTCCTTTCGTGCATTTGAGATCAGCCCGCCACAAGCACTGATCAGTCACAGCCTTTTGCTTCATTGGCTATAGACCTCCAGGGCTGAGGGGATTGAGGTCAGCTTTTATGCAGCTCCCATCAATCACAGAGCGTCAGCATCTGCAGCGTGAACTACCGCCAAATCGAGATCTTGGCTCTTGTCTACACTCCCAGAAACAAACACGAAACAGGTGCAGCTCGGCTGGATTGGGAAGCTGCAGCCCTCACCGATCACACCCCGGCTCACTTGGGTGCATCCGGTTCAGCACCACCCAATGAGGCGGTGGCCATTTCCACCTCTACCCAATGCCATGCTACTCGGGTTCTTGGTCGGGCTTTGCCAACTCCAAAGACCTAGAAGATGAGCCCATGGCTTCGATGGGATCGGCATCCCCGCGAAGATCACGAACGCTTAGCCACCGCTTCCATGTGCACGGTCAACAAGGTTTGGCCTGTGGCTGGTGGAAGGATCTAACTGTATACCGAGTACAACACGTGAGATGCAATGGTGCCTTTCGTGACCCAGCTTGACAAACAACAGTGCTCTTCGAGGCACGGAAGTCTTTGGGATTGATTTCGTCCCGTTAGCCAGGTGGAACCAAGGGGCAGACGCTGCTGATACGATCGATGGACAAAAGTACAGGAGGCCCCTGATATGTCGCTAAAGTGAGGTGGCGTAACGCTGTACAGAAGCCGAGTATAATTTTCCCGGCGCCTCACGAGTGGTCCCAGCGCCATGGTGGGTGGGCTAGTGAATTGTGAGAGGTGAGCTGCATATCATGACTTCGAGGATGTTGGTTTCGAGGTCTTAACTTCTAGGTATTCACGAGGCTGACATCCCTCACCAAATCTCTGCCCTTGAAGACGCGCAGCGGATGCTTCGCGAGGCTTCCTCAACGAACTACTCTTTATCATACCATATCAGTCACTCACAGGTATCTGAGATTTCGTTGGCACAGATGCCTTCACTGAAGGCATTACATACTCGGTGCTGGCCGGTCGGAGCTTCCATGTGTTCCAGTCTTTTCGGCGCCCACTTTGATCGTGCTGGATAAGTGCAACATTCGCTACCACCAACACCGGAGGAAGCTTATTGACTGAAAGATTCCATCAACTCACGGTGGATCTCTTGGAAAATGTTTTTTGGTTGGCAGTACTCTGTATATCGTTCCCAATTGTCGAGACGAGTCGAATCTTCGGTGGTATCATGCGTTCACTCCTTTTTCATTTCTCATAGGTACTCATGTGCTTGCGCCGCAGGCCCGCGTGCATGGACCATTAAATGCCCGCTAAAGGGAAGCCGATGTAACTGTTGACTCCCATCGTCCAAGCGCACCTCTCTCTAGACCTTAAGCTCTTCACCTTCTCGGCATCCCCCTTCCCCTCCCTCTCAATGCCCGTTGTGCTGCACCAGGGGGCAATCCTCTCGCCGGCGCCTGCGGACCTTGACTCTCCTCGTTCTTGATTGTCTCGTCGACACTCAGAATCAGACATGCTGCCTCCACAGCTGCTGAAACGGCATTGAACTTGACCAGGGCAGGTTCCCAGACAAACGCATCCATGTTATTCCGGACTCCTTCGTGGTCAAAGTCGACGCCTGCCCAGGTATTTCCTTTTCGGTGTTCCACCCGCAGTCGATTGAGGATGTCGGTGGCGTCGAAACCTGCGTTGTCGCACAGCTGTCGCGGTATGCACTCCAAAGCCTTTGCGAATGCCTTTACCACAGCCTGCTGCTTGTGGGGGACATTCTTGTCCGCAAATCTGTGCAAGTACCCTGAAATCTCCATCTCGGTGGCACCACCCCCGGCCACAATGGTATGGTTCTTCAGGGCCCGCTTGACTATCATGATGGCATCATGCAGCGACCGTTCGACTTCGGCAATGAACTGCTCGGCCCCACCTCTCAGAACCAACGTGCATGTTTTGGCCTCCGGACAGTGACTGAACAGGTTGTACCGCTCACCACCAATTTGGCGCTCTTCGAACAATCCACACGTCCCCAAATGCGACGGTAAAATGTCGCTGCAGGTACTCTGGGTGACGGCGCCCGTTGCCTGACACACACGCTCCAGATCGTCAGACGCAACACGCCCTGCGCAAAAGATATCCCTATCTGCAAAATACTGGGTGGCCAGATCTCCGATTGGTAGCTTCGACAATACCACCTTCGCACCCGTCTTGTAGAGTGCCTCCATCTTGTCATAAATGATTTGCCACTCGGCATCCACTATCGCCTGGTATTCCGACACCTGATCGATTCGTACCTCTGCATTGTCCTTCTCTGCCTTCAACTCCAGTTCAACGTTCAGACATACGATTTTAGGGTTCTTGAAAGATTTGGGTTGTTGTTCGAAGCCCGCGTAGGAAAAGGTCTTTTTGAATGCAACGCCGTCGACAAAGAGAGAGTCTTCCAAGGCGCCACCGGTGATTTTCTTGATGCCGATGAGTTTCTCGTTCAGGTCGTCTTGGTCGAGGCTAAGGACGGCATCGACGACCACTAAATATTTTTCCTCTTCGTCAGCGGATCCAGATTTATTGCCACTTTGCAATGCCAGAGACCTGGGGTAAAACTTACTCTTCGTGAAGAAATCCGCATTCCGATGAATAAGTTTACTGCTCATTGCCGTGGCCGCCAGTTTTCGCAGTGTCTCCCTCTTATTTGCGCCATCGTCTACACTGACAGCAATCTCTTTGATCTTGTTTATCGCCATGGCACTCGCCCTCCTCAGTCCCTTGACAATGGTCTGCGTAGATACTCCTTGCTCGACCAGCTCTTTCACTTCCTTCAATATTTCTCCCGCCAACACAACGACCGAGGTGGTCCCATCGCCCACCTCTGCATCTTGACTCCGCGCTATGTCGGTCAAGATCCTTGCAGCTGGATGGACTATGTCGAGCAGGCGCATGACTGTGGCGCCATCGTTCGTGATTGTCTGTTTCCCGCTGGAATCAACGAGGAGCAAGTCGCCACCGTAAGGGCCTAGGGTGCTTTTGATGGTATTCTGCACGGCCAGGCAGGCGTTAATGTTGGAAATTACCTGGGGCTTGCCTTGAGAGGTGTCGGTGCCTGGTTACAATGCGTGGTGTGAGTAAAGGTATGGAGCAAATGGGTAGAGTGTCAGTATATCGACACGGACTTGCTGACCTTCTTTGAGCACGATAATCGTGGGTGTCTGTCCACCGAAGGCCGCCATATTCTCTTTCTCAACTGTCTCCAACGGCGTGTAGAAATGTAGCGAGCACTCACACGAGATGTTTTCTGGTAGGGAACTTTTTGAAATTCACGAGTGACGCAGCATTAGTGCCCGATGTGCAGTTTCTACGGTGGGGTTTTGCGCTGGCCTGCTCGCCTGGCTTCTCAAGCTTCCACCTGCCTCACCACCCCGCTGCTTCGTTTATTCTAATCACAATGTCAACCGCCACTTCGAGCCCGCATCTTCCAGTGGATGGATCACTCTATTACCAGGAATTCTAACTATCGACGGCCTAAGACTGGATCTTTTTCAAAGGCCGTAGCGATCTATGTCCCTAGGAGTCGCTCTCCAGATGGGAACTTAGAGGCGTGGCATAACACGTGGTCATGCCGACGTCTATTGTCTTTCCAGGCGAAGTCTTGATCATATCGACATAACCCAGATTCCAGAGCGCACCCTCGTGAAGGAAAAGCTTGTCTCAACGACTACAGACACGGCTGAGGGCAACTCAAGCTTTGGATAGAAAAAAAAGGGGGAAGAATATGTCAACCGAGTAAGTTGTGGCTTGCGCGTGGCAGTACTAGCGAGACCCCACGGGACTCCAAAAAGCAAAGTGCGTCCGCAGTGGCTGCATTCAACCGTTCTTGTGGTATCTCCTTCGAAGTCCCATTTTCCACACGGGTATCATCTCACGCTATAACGATGTGGCTTTAATTTCAGCATCCAAAAGAGGACATCAAGCAGGCGCTTTTGTTTCGATACAGCCAGCCTTGACCACCACCATTTTATCGGGGTTATTGCCGGCGATGTGTGGTCGCGTGGTGGTCGTGCCCTTATGGAGAGAGATTAAAGTATTCACGCTGACCTTGCTCTGTTTTCATCTAATTCTTGTTCTTTTAGCCGGCCTTTCGAAATTTTGCATGAGGGTTGCACTGTATTTCGCTTTCGTCTTCGTCAATCATCAATTATCCAACAGACTCTCTTTCTCTCTTTCTCTCTCTTACATACTCGCAGACGGCGGGCTCGCACCATGGCCGTCATGCCGGCTAAAGAAACTGGCTTTGTGCAGATGAGAGAGCTCAACAATTCCGAGGCGTCATTACTGAAACCACAGCGAGACCGAATGATCCCCACAGCCTGGCCATCCGAACCGAAATCATTAGCCAACAACCCGTTCAACGAAATCATACTGGACATGTACGATGTCTGCCTGTGTCTCATCCCCATCGCCCTCATGGTCAAGATTGGCCTATGCCTTTACGCCGAGAAGCAGGATAGCTACAATACTGCCTACTTTATAGATGAAGTTAGCATGTTGACCACTTATCTCATTCGTTTCAACAACCAGCTCGCAACTGCCTTCACAATCGTCTTCGTCTTAATATTTACAACTTTCCTGAAACGATTCGCGTTATGGAGGGCGCAGAACGGAGAGTACGTAGCGAGACTCGAGCAGTACCAGGCGAGCATGTCCTTGATCAGCACTTTGCGCTCTATTCTGGTTTTACGCGCGTTTGACTCCATCAGCGTTGGCCTGGTCATCTTGTGGTCTTTCTACTACCTTGGAAGCCAGGCTAGCAAGGATAAGTATACGTACCAAGCGTGTGGCCCTTATTCGAACTTCACGATTGCATACCGCAATTCTTCAGCTCCATCAGCATTCCAGAACGTGAGCTACACAGAATATCCCTCATCATTTTTTGATACTATGAACCTACAATATGGCGTCTACGTTACCTCTCTACATGAATCTCTATCTCAATTTCAATCTCCAACTTCATCTGACTATACTGGCGGGGCTCTAGTGCCTTTTGGCTCGTATTCAGCATGGTAGGTCTTATAGCGATTTGATAAAGTTGACATGAAGCCCTCTCTATCCCTTGCCGCCTAGAAGCTCGACATCGGCTGACAGAATCTGCTCGCTGCGTTTCAGGGACGACCCTATCGAGAGCTGGCAGGACGTTTCCAAGCCTTCGGAAAACGAATACACTTCCTTTGCCGGCTACTATTCGTTGAACCTGGACAGTTATGAGTCTTCCACATTCGTTGGCGACTACAATCTTGAAACGTCTTTTTTACAGGCGAATTGCTCCAGTTTGACCTTACTGCCTGCAGCGCAATTTCCTAATGGCACGACCAAGTCAACTTTGCTCGCCATGAACATGAGCGATTCTTCGGTGATCCATGAAACGAACAATTACACTAGTGGTCGGAATTTCACCATTTCTGCGCACCACAATTCATCTGTGGTCGTGCAATGCTCTTGCACCATTGCCCGGAGATATGTTGAACTCAAGGTACACTGCAACGGTCTCAGTTGCAGCGCCCGCAAAATCAGAGATTCGCGCAGGCCGCAGTGAGTGGTACCCCGTTCTCTTCTTGGCTCAATCGTGAGCCCCTGAAGGGTGCCTTGATACATGGAAATCCGAGTCGTAGTACCTGCTTACAAGTGGATAATAGCCCGTCGGAAAACTCTACACCATTTGATGATGATATCTTTGCAGATCGGTTCTTTCAGTCTCTTCTCTCTGTCAATCAAGTCACCACCAAACAAGCACTAAATTGGCAGGCCGTCGACGACTGTTTTTTAGGTAGCACCGGCGACTATGGTGAAACCCTTACAAAGACAGAAATTCTCGGCAATTTCAGCCGTGCCATCACTTTCCAAATCAGCGTTGGTGCTACCCAAGTCCTCAACACATATTATTATGCATCTCAACTTCAAGGAGAGGACCCGACCTTCCTAGACATTGATCCAGAGGACATCACAACCGACCCTCGCTTCACAATAACACATATGAGAGGTGGCGAATACAACCCTAGGTACGCCACAAACAAAGTTTGGATTGCTTTCGACTTCCTCTCTCAAACTGTCCTGCTGGCAGCGGCAATTGCAGCGTTCTGGCTGCGCAAGGTACGTCATTTAAAATAGCACATCACGGCAACTTATGCGAAGGCTTTTGATACTCTCCCGTATAAGGACGATAGTCGCTGATAAATTTCTTTTGACGAAACATCAGAACACCATCGCGCCTGATATCTTTGGCTATGTAAGCAGTTTGACGAGGGACAATCCGCATATAGACCTGCCAGACGGAGGCACGACGCTTGGCGGACTGGAGAGGGCAAGACTCCTCAGGGACGTCAAGGTCAGGATTGCCGACGTTTCTCGAGACGGCGAGGTGGGACATGTAGGACTTGTAACGGAAGCAAGGGAAGCCGATATGCTCAGCAAAGGAAAGGTATACGCCTGAGCACACGTGATGAGGCTATGATGAGACTTTGTGGGGAGTGTCGGCAGGATATGAACTATGGAAATCATGCAAGGAAATTTTCTTTTTGTATCGAAACGTCTCCCTTTCAACCCCCTATGAGGGACTTGGTCATTCTCTCTCCGACAGCACGGCGGCTCCTTTGGCTCAAGCCGCATTTGGAGACAAGTTGCACGGTCTGGCACAGCAAAACAGGGCTGTAATTGACGCACAAGCTGAAAAGCATTGGTCACCAAATCTTATGATTACCGTCAAGCGAAAAAAGAGCACAACATCAAGTGGCCTTGTTGTCACGCACCTGAAAACCCCGGATACGAAAAGGCCCTAAACTCGGCATGGAATTTGGAGACAAGGGTCCCGCTGTTCAAGTGAAAAAAGCTTTCAAAAGCAACTGGAACTCCCGAATATTCGACATGTTAGACGAGGAACTGGCGACTTTTTTCGAGAACCCGAGAACCCAAGCTTTGCAGATCGGATGGCGATTGGTTTGAGGATTTCGATTCCCACCCTCCCCCCAAACAAACTCCCCCAGTCGCTCATTCAAGGCAGCAACCAACGCGAACCGGCCCAAGGCTGAATTGCACACGAGGGCTAAGAACTCCAGGCAGGCGAACATGACCGTTTGAGCAATATTTGCTAGTGGTCGGTAATGTAATACCACAAAGGCTAGGCGAATGGAAGCTATATATCGTGTATTTGTCCAGAATAAATGCTGGGCGTCACACAGGATACCATGCCAGGGGTTGCGTTGGAGGGTTCTGTGAGAGCAGTTTTTGGGCGCCTCTAGTAAGCATTACTTTGAGACTTAAATTCGATTCTTGTGCTTCTTATCTCAAGCTTCTTGTCTTCAGCTCCTCGGTAGAAGAGGACCCAACAGGGGCCACTACTACGGCACGAGAATTTCCCGCCTTGATTACCCAGTACCTAGTACTCCGGGGAGTCGGTAAGGCTGGACCCCTGTAGCACGTGACCCCGCGGCTTTTACCAAGACCTCGAGGGGCGTCATGGCGCCGCAATTTCGCAATCCTCGTCCGCTTATTATCTCCTAGCAGCAGGCGTATGTAGGGGAAAGACTCCGCGCCCCCTAGCTTCATGCATTGGCCAAGGAAAGAGCAAGTCCTCTATGCACTGTGTCCAACTATCAAAGCTAGCGAGAGATGGGCTGAAGTGCGGCCCTGAGGTGGGCCCAATACCAGGCAGGCAGCCTGGCTCAGGGATGTCCAGGGTGTCCAGGCAAGCTTCAGCAATTCTCACCCACTACCCAGCTTGTCCCTCGAGCGAAAGCTCTGTTGTATTGAAATACATGACTATTTATGCAGCGTCAAGGTCGTACAGGCCCCTGTTCGTGTCGGGAGCGCAGACACGACGAGAGGGTCTGGACATCCAATGTTTGACAGCAACAAGGCTGAGGAGAGTCCTGGGCGAGCCGGGACAAGGGAAACACGACCAGCGGCTTGTGTAACCAGGGGGGTTCGACTCTTCACCGCTTTGCATCCTATGGACTCTTACTACTCTTACTCTGTCATTCTTAAAGTCCGGCTGATGGCGCTGGAAGTCACCCCACCTATCTGCAAGCATGAAGCTGCATGTTGCCGCCAAAAATCGACCAATGCCGGCCTCGCCATACCGCGCCCATCTCGTATAGAATTGGTCTGGACGGGCCAGGAAAGGATTTGGCCCTGGAACCAGCGCGAGAGCGAGTGTGCTCGAGCACCTGAAGGCCCTTACCTCTCGACCAGCATATCCTGCTTCAACCTCTTGTTTTACAGCCCTCCGCAGTCACGACGACATCGCGGTCAATGAGCATCCTAGGTTTTGCGTGTTAGATTTTACTCCTCACAATGACAATACTGGCCTCTTCGCTCTTTCTGCTCCTTGCTCTGTTGACGGTGCAGACAGTGGCTCAGCCTCCTGCAGACCCGCTCCGGAACTTCTGCAGGAGGTATGGCCACCAGACTGCGGTGATTGATCGAAAACTTTACATTGATGGTGGCTGGCTATACGCGAATCCCATTTCACAGAATCCCATACCCACAATGAGTACTGCTGAAGTCTCACGATCGCAAACAGTTCCAGGCTGACGATGGTGCAGATGAAGGTCTCCTGTATTGTGATCTAGACTACTCATACCAAGACATGCCCCCGGAATATGCGAATCTGACAAAGAACTCCTCGATCCCGGATGTTGCAGGAGGCACGTTATGGCAAGACGAGGTCAATAAAGTCTTCTGGTTGTACGGAGGCGAATTCCAAGCCGCGCCGTCCACGTTTCAACTCTGGGGTTACGACGTGATCTTGAACCAGTGGAATCTGTCCTCTCCGACCCTTGGATCCACGTCGCCGATTCAGAGGGTGTCTTACGGAGCTGGTGTGGCCAGCAGTGAGATTGGAATGGGCTTTTACTATGGTGGCTACCTCAACAACCTGACCAATCCTTTATGGACAGGGCCGCAATGGGCAACAAGCAACCTGATCGTCTACGACATGGATCAAAATACTCTTACCAACTATAGTGGTTATGATAATATCGGCAGGGCCGAGGGAATCATGGTGTACATTCCAGCATCTATCAGAGGTTTACTTGTATATTTCGGTGGAGTTACCTTCCCCTATGGCAATGAAACCGAAGTTGCGGTATGTGAGGGTCTTCTACGCCGCCGCACAAAACATGTTGGAGATACCGCAATACTGACAATTTCATAGGCGCCCATGGACACCATAATTATCTACGACATTTCAGACGGCAAGTAACTCCGCACGCAAAAACAGAAACACTGGCTCTGAGGCTCATTTCTTCCTGAACAGCCAAATGGTACACCCAGACAGCCACAGGGACCATTCCGGAAATGCGTCGCAAATTCTGCGGCGGTGTGACGTGGGCGGATGACCAGACTTCCTATAATATGTAAGTCATCGCTTCGGTATCAAACGAGGGTTCCTAACCTGAGTCCCAGTTATCTCTATGGCGGATTCGGGTTTGGAGAAAACGCAACAGTAAGCATTATATACGGTGCTTGGGAATCCCGTTTCTGAAAGATCCCCAGGGCTTCGACGATGTCTACATTCTGACCATGCCTACCTTCGAATGGATCAAATGGTACCCTGATAACCCAGGCCCTGGCTCGCCGCATGGGCTGCTTACCTGTAACGTGATCGACAGAGGGCAAATGATAGTCATGGGAGGCAATTTTACGAATACCACGGCTTGCGACGTGCCCGCAAGCCAGGGCCAGCATAACCTGAATCTAGGCCAATATGACAGCACGGACGCCAAATGGTATGCCTATCTACCGAATCTCACAGAGTACTTTGTCCCCCCAGCGATCCTGCAAGTGGCGGGTGGCACGTAAGACTCCCCCTTCCGTGGTCATGGATCCTTCGGTAATGACACAGCGATCCAAGCTGACAATGTTTTGTGGCAGACCTGAAGGCGGAGCCATTCAGAAGGCTCCAACGAATGGATGGGACGACGATCGACTGTCGGTCTATTTCGGGGAGAAAGCTGTCTTCACCTCGCGGACACCGACGCGGGCCCTCCCCACAGCGACAGCGACATCTCCCTCCCCAAAACCGTCTCCCCCTTCTCCAAGCAAGAAGACCAATATTGGAGCGATTGTCGGCGGCGCCGTGGCAGGTACTGTGGCGTTGTTGCTCGCGATCGGGATCGCGTGCCTCTGCGTGAGAAGGCACAAGAAGGCGAAGAACAACCAACCTAACCCAGCAGCGGGAGCAACGCCCGTCCCAGGCGCAGCGCAGCCTTTCCCTCCGACCTCGCCGCGAGCCCAATATGTGATCAATGAGAAGCACTCGACGACCGTCGCCTCACCCGGCTCGACCAGCAGAGTCGGCTCGCCGAGCGACCAGCAGCACTCGTCGCAATACAGCACGCCTCCTCCGCCCCCGTCGCAGCACCCTGAGTATCCGAGCTACTACTACGCGGCGGCTCCTGCCCCTGGCGGGCCTGGCAGCCAGCCGACGACGCATTATTACCCCGTGGTGGTGGCCTCCGGTCAGCAGCACCAGCAGCCGTACGCCTATCCGGCGGTGCAGGGAGCGGTGCCAATGCCGATGCCGATGCCGTTCTATCCGCCGCCGCCGGAGCCAAGTCGCATGGAGAGCCACGAGATGCCGACCGTGCGCAGTCCCGAGATCATCCAGGTCCACCAGCCCAGACCGCTGAGGCCCCCGGAGGGTCTCGGGGAATAAAAACGCGATGGATCATCATAATCATGGTCATGGCTGCGGATCCGAAGACTTTCCTTCCTCCCTTCGCTGGAGAAGAAATGAAAGAATGAACGAATCATATTGCCCGGGGAGAATGTTCTCCTAACAGACGACGCATCCCGAGGATGGTGCATGTGCCAGTGGCAAGTGCAGTGCAGTGCATGTGTATGTAACTGCAGCTGAACGTCGACTCACACGAGCCATATGGGAGGATTACAAGAGCCTCCGTTGTTGCTTAGAAGGGGAGGGGAGGGGAAGGGAGGAAGATATCCATCCTGGGACCGGAAGTATAAGTATTAAACCCAAGTAGCCCACATTAATGGACATAATCTCAGCGATTTGAGCCCCCTCTTTTTTTTGACTTGCACTTCGGGGGGATACTGGTGGTGCTCCATCCTTCATCCATCCGGTACTAATTGTTAGCTACCTACTTACCTATATTTGACACAGAAGCGGCCATGTTGTCGTGGGTGGCTAATAAGCACACAAGACACTCCAGGCCTACCTAGCCCCACACCCAGCCTCTCATCAAGACCACTACCTAATAGTGGTAGGAGGCGGCTCTTTGACGTCCTGTGGTCGCAAAAACATGCTCGATACAGATTCTACCCAAGCACCCCAATTTTTCCTAATTAATACAAAGGGAGAGCAATGCTGATCCGCCGGTAGATCACGTACGTGGCTGGATATCTCGAAATCCGTCCATTTTCTCTTCTGCACTCTTTCTTCGGTGAATTCCCCTCCTAGTGGGCGCTGGCTCAGCACCTCAAACGACCTTGAGATGTTGCTATTATCAAGGCTTCGCAGGAGGTCCCTATACACAGTAACAAAGTGACCCCCTTACCTCATGAGAAACGTACTCGTGATCCGCCTGCGGTGAAAGCGTGATGTCCAGCCGGCTCCCGAACTGAGAACCGGGCCCGCTCATGGGAGACTGATAGGTGAGATCGGAAGACAAGTCCTTTTGAAATTTCCACCCTCTTGTTGATGAGGCTGATCAAATTCTGCCGAAAGTACTGTGATCCCCACTTTTCTGATTACAGCTTGCATTGAAGTCCGACATCTTCACCCCGATCACGGAAATCAATATTGCTTCGCAGCGAAATACTCATACCGTCCTGCAAGTTTCGCCCTCCATGTGCGTCCCCAGATAATCAAAGGCACACAGGTTAAAGCCACGGCGACACCAAGACAGCCCAGCAAAACGAACATGTTATATACGCCCCTGATTCATAGTTAGCACCGAAACACTGTTTCTGGCAAAGATATCGCTGTAGCAAGCACCCGTCACACCAGCTCAGGCTTTCCTGGGGCACTCACATGTTGGTCATCCAGGGTGTGATTGCGAAGACGAGGGCGGTAGAGATGATGTTGCGCACAAAGACCACGGAGGTGAGTGCGTCACCGAGGATCTGCAAAGAGAATGAATAAGTTACGAAACATCTTTACCAGACAAAAAAAGGTTTTCTCCGAGCGGAAGGTGGTAGGCGCTCTCTGGACTCACATATTGGTAACAGTCCTGACAGTACGTCAGAGAAATATCACCGCATCCTCCAATTGCAGCTCCGATAAATCCAGCTCCTACAGCATTGACAGGCCAAGCCATTCCCTTGAACCGTCAATGTCAGTTTCCATTCGCATCATTTTCGAATCGAGATCCGCTTTGCGAGTGTGTGCCTACCTTGGAGATGGTCAACCCATACATAAACAATCCGATTGGCATGCAAAAGCCCGGTACCAGGAACAGCCAAAGTCGAGTTTCGGGCTCGTAGATACCGCCTCGTCGCTTCGCAACCTGGAGAATGAAGTAGTCGTTCAGAGGGCCGCCAAAGAGGGAGCCCAAAATAGCTCCGATGGCAGGTGGCAAGTTCATATTTCCGACTCCGATCGGAGTGAAATTATACGGCGGGAAAGGATACAGCGTCGCCTGCGTCACGGCCAGGATCGCCAACATGGCAATACAAAATCCATACTGCAGTGCCGTGAACATGACTGCGGGAAATGTGACCAAGATCTGAAAGGGTTGGTAGAAGTGCATCACCAGGCTGCGCTGTTCAGTGGTTGTTTGCTTATCCAGTGACCACAGGGAGTGACGTTTCCAGTATGAGTTCATGGGGATGGATGTGTCGATTTCAACGAGGCGGCGACGTTCGTTATTGGCGGCGTCGGTGGAATCAACAGAGATAGAGCCACGAGCGTTGCCTTTACTGGTGCTGTTCACTTTGGTGAGGTTGTCCTGCTGCTCCGTGGAAGTGGAGACGACGACTTCCCGACCGTTCAACACCAGCGGAGTGTATTTGGTCTCTTCGAGGAAGAAGACCATAGCAACAGTCACCACGGCCATGAAGATGGTGCAATACCAGAAGACCCATCTCCAATCCTGTGAGACGGCGACATAGCCAGCGGCAACTGGCCCCAGATAGTTGCCGATGATGACAACCACGAGGTAGATCCCGTTCATTGTTCCGCGCTGATGTACGAAGAAGAGATCCGAAACCTGTTGCAATATATGTCAGTAAATGCGGGCTCTATTCGGCCATCTCCAGAGGATTCGGAGGTTGAAGGGGACGTACGGTGACCTGGAAGATGGCCTCATTCACAGCCCCAGCAAGACCAGATATAGCATTCGATCCAATCATATCCCCAACAGTAAACATCTTCGCTTGCCACACGGCGGCAGCAAGCATGACCAGTGCAGTGACAATGTAGACTGGCCTTCGACCGATTCGAAGAGCAATGGGCACAAAGATAATACATCCAACGGATAACGTGGCCATGTTTGTGGCGTAGCCATCATTCAGAACAGCATAACTCATACCAAGCTCGGTGTTGAAGTCTTGCCAGAGCGGCACGGCAACACAGAGGCTGGAGAGTAAGGCCATCAGCTTCTACGACACGCTGCAATGTCCGGGCCGAGCAAACTTACATTGCAAACACCATCAACGCATAGAAGCATAAAATGGTCATATGCAGAGACTTGCGGAATGCCGACCAGTTCTGTTGCAGAAGTGAGAAAGCATTCTACCACAACGCCGGAAACAAAGACTCACCAATGGCTGATTGGGATCCGCATTTGGTTGAGGTGCCAGCAGAATCTTCTGCCCGGTCCTGTCCTCGATCCTCTGCGTTCCCGGCGGGAGTCTATCGTAAGTCATTCTGGCGATGTCGCAGGCAGCCCGTAATGGTCAAGGAATTGTTCTGGAAAATGAGGCGCGCACGATGCTGATGGACTTTGGGAAGGGGGTGGCTATCCTTTAGTAGACCTCGCCGCCAGCCACCCATGATGGAAAAGACCCTTATCAACCGACCAGTATCCCAGGATTCTGGAGCTTTGCCACTGCCTCGAATCATTGCCGACAAGCTTCCGGCCAGGCCAAGGTTGAGGCTAGCGGCGCCTGGTGGCCTCTCTAGGTATGCGGAGAAAGGAAGATCATCCCGTAGTAAGAGCTGATGTCCGAAGGGTTTGACGCTGAAAGCCGACAACACCTCAGATATAATATCGAATCATATCCGTTTGCGCCGACTTAGTGCGGGCTGGATGCAAGGAAGCCAAGGCCCCCATATTGCCCATATCAAAATTTGAGCTGGCTAGGACTGCCTCTTTCGGTTGTTTAGACATAGGCACTATTATGTTGATGATAGGAGAGGACTGTTGCAACGACCGCCGGGTGTATACCTGTATGTTGAAACATGGATCGAAGATCGTTCTGGAGTCGTATTGACGCTCTTATGTCTCCAGCAGCCCAAGAAACCGTTTGAGGGCTCCTTCCGGACTCATCTGGTCGAGCCTCTCCCAGCTGCATCCAAACTCATCCCTTGGGAACCACTCAGTAACTTCGTGTTCGCGTCCCATCACAATATGTGCGAGTGCCTTCCCAGCAAGCCAGCAATGAACCATGCCGTAACCATCCCACCCAGCAGCAATCCATTCACCACCGAGTTCGGGATCGCACTCGGCTCGACCAGACATGAACTCTCGAACACGATCAACCAGGGGCAGCCCATCTCCCGTGAATCCCATAATCCCTGTCCATTTCTTCTCGACCTTTGCGCCTGTTCCGTGGGCAAATGCTGTTGACGGGACTGTCTTTAGATGCTCAAGGCATTGCGCACTCAGCTGGCTATCATCGGCGTTTCCCAAGTCTTCGTCTTTCTCCGGTCCACCTTGGAAGAATCCTCCACCGAGGTACAGTGAGCCATCTTCGCCAGGAGATTGTGTGATGTAGTCAAAGCCTCTTGCCCACATTGTACTCCACGATCTCGAGGCACCAAGTCGTGGGAAGTCTGCGTGTACCGACTGAACCGTCATCTGCCCTCTTAGAGGCCAGAGTTTGCCCTTCAGGAAGGGAAGCAGATGCGCTGCGTACGCGTTTGTGCAATGAATGACGTGTTTTGCTGATATCATGCCTCGCGTTGTGTGCACTTCGTAAGGATGACTTTGGGATTTATTCCGACGTACTTCTTCTGCAATAGTGTGCGTTTCGAGACCAACCTGCCCGCTGGCGAGTAGATTTGACAGTACGCAACCAAGAAATCGATATGGCCATGCCGCCCCGGAAGGACCCTTGATGCAACCATAGGCGTTGATGATTCCGAATTTCTCAAACTACGTCAGCTAAAGAAAGATCGTGGGGAGATTTTGGTACCATCAGCTCTTCCTCTCCCTCATGCACACTCCAATTTTCGCGATGCTCCGGGAAGTCCTCAAGCCATGCTTCGAGCTTGATCTTTGCCGACTCCCAACTCTCTTTGTCGAAAATAGCGCTTACTCCCTCCACACGTCGCACCAAGCCGACTTTACCAGCTTCGCCGAGAGCAGTAGCCTCATTGACAAAAGCATCCAAATGAGCAAGTCGGAATTTCGTAATCTTCATTGCACTGTCTTTGCCGAGTATCTGCTTGAGAGCATGATAATCGGCCCACGGGACGGCTTTGATATGCCCGCCATTTCGGCCTGTTGCTCCCGATATCGCTGACCTGGCCTCAAGCATAATTATTTTCTGTGACGGCTGCAAACGGAGCAAATGCTGTGCCACGCTAATGCCAGCAATGCCAGAGCCGATAATAACGACATCGGATTCCTGGGGTAAAGTTGCCGACTGTTGATCAGCAAAAGAATGACGAGGATCCTGCCAAAAGGACTCGGTCGGTTTTTCGACTGGACTTCCAGGGTCTCGGTTTAGCCTCGCGGCCAATTTCTGCAAAAGGGAGGGTTCAGTTGGTGCCGCCATATTTTTGACTTTGCGGAATCTAAGACCGCACACTCCAGACGAAGTGAGTAGATATGTGGATAAAGTACACAACCAGGGTCGTTCGGAGTTGTTGCATACGTCGAGCGTTCTGGCGAGAAATCTCACTCAGTCATGGACTAGCCTGGAGAATAAAAGATCTCCCACTCGTAGCATCCGTTCCCGAGCCGTCCAAGAGCGTCAGGGGTTTCTGCGCCAATATACTTTCAGGATCACCTAGAGGCTGGCTGACAAGTAGCGAGCCGGTTCAACAATGTACCCAACTATTTATCTGGGAAACCGTGGTGGCCGATCCGGAGGAGAAGTCTGGGGTGTCAAACATCGATCGTGGCGCAAATTTGGATGATTGGAGGGCGCAAAGATGCTTGATTGGTCCCCGGATTCTGGTCTGCTGGGGGTTGAAAGGCGGACAACAGCGTATGTACATCCTGGTACGTCCTCGGTTGAGAAATGCTTCTCAAATACAACCGGCTCCGTTGCAGGTTTGCTTAGAAGCCAAAGAGGAACAGATATATATTGTTGAGCATCGTGCAGCCATCACCTTTTGCCCATTTCGCTGGGCAGATCCGAGTAGTCCATCAAGATTTCCATCCGCAAGGTACTCAGTACGCGAGGTATGGATCTTGTTGAAGTAATACACAGAAGTTGGCTGCTATCCTCTGACATGACAATAGTGCAAAGTCATAAGATCAGATCGCCAGCATGGCCTCAATCAGCGCCATGGTTGAACAAGACGTCCACCCGGTGGATTGGCAGACAAAGGTCGCTCAAAAGCGACAGCAGTGCCGTGAAGCCATTCCGACAGAGTGGCAGCTTCCTTCTGATATCTCCAAGATGCTGGTTTACCCGCTGGATAAGAATCCAAACAGACTCTTCGACTTGGACATAGTCAAGAAGTCGCGGATCCTATCCGAACGTGAACTATCAATCACGGAAAACTACACGGTGTCGGAGTTGCTGGCCAACCTTGCATCGGGAGAGTTCACTTCTGTCGAGGTTACAACGGCCTTTTCGAAAAGGGCTGCAATAGCACAACAGCTAACTTCGTGTCTGACGGAGACATTCTTCGACACCGCACTCCAACGAGCAAAATATGTCGATCAATGTAGGAGTGAGGGAAAGCTGCTTGGGCCCTTGCATGGCCTTCCCGTCAGCATCAAGGACTCCTTTCAGGTAGCTGGCACTGAAGCTTCCATTGGTTTCGTCTCGTTCCTCGGGGAGAAGTCACAGGAGAACTCGCCGATTGTCGACATTCTACTCAGCTTGGGCGCCGTGCTCTATGTGAAAACGAACATTCCTCAGACACTCATGACGGCGGACTCTGACAACAACATCTTTGGCCGAGTCTTGAACCCTCACAACACATCTCTAGGTGCGGGAGGCTCTAGTGGGGGGGAAGGAGCATTGATTGCTTTCCGAGGATCCCCGCTTGGTGTTGGGACTGATGTTGCTGGATCAATTCGCATTCCGGCATTGTGTTGTGGCACCTATGGCTTCAAACCAACATCTTCTCGGGTTCCGTACGGCGGTCAAGCAACACCGGGTTTGCCTGGATGGAAGCCCATACTCGCCTCCGCAGGGCCACTTGCGAATGACTTTGAAGCCCTGGAAGTCTTGACCAAAGCAATCATAGACTCGGTGCCCGCTACGTTTGACTCGACCGCGATTGACGTACCCTGGCGCCGCCTGGACCAAGATGAAGATGCCAAGCTCAGAATCGGAGTCCTGGCTGAAGACCCCCTTTATCCACTTCATCCACCGGTAAAGAGAGCGCTTGCGGAAGTTGCCAACAGACTCGCAGCTGAAGGTCATCAAGTGATTCAGCTAAGCCCAGAGCAAGGCCACGTGGCCGATGCCACGGAGGTGGCAGGTGAGCTATTCAGTCTTGAGACAGAGACTCCGAGGGGACATATCCTTGCGAGTGGTGAGCCTCCGGTGCCCTCTGTTGCTGCGGGTCATCGACCTGCCAGTTTCGGAAACTACCAGTATGTTCCGAATATTGAGAAGTTGGGCAAGCTGCAAAAGTATGCAGCTCTGACAGTGAAACGTCAGGAGCTGTCGGAGGACTGGCGAAAGATGTGGTCCGAAATGAAGCTGGATGCGGTCATTAGCCCTCCAGCTCAAAACACAGCTGTTCCACATGACACGTATGGCTGGCCACCATACACATGTCTCCTCAACGTGCTTGACGTAAGTCGTTTTCACAGGCTCAACCTTGAGATATCCGCTGACGTGTCCAGTACCCCGCTTGCATAATACCATTCTCGAAAGCCTCGCAGCAACAGGACCCTGAGCCACTGCAAATCCGGCCTGGACAAGCTGGCCCGCATTGTAAGAGACGCGAGTCCGACAATGTTCATTTGCTGACAGTCATTTAGATGACCCAAAGGCCCAACATGGAGCCCCGTGCTCAGTTCAAATATTCACGAGTCGTATGCGCGACGAAGAATGCGTCAAAGTAGCTCGCATCATTGACAGATGTCTGAGATGACAGTCCCGATGGATAATAGTTCACGTAGGACCATCTTGAGAAGTGGCTGGGTGCCAACAAACTACTATCCTCTGCAAGTAAGGAGGCCGCTCCCAACCCGTCTTTTTGGATGAGCGCCATGAGTCCATCGTATTCAATTTCTTCATCTGCAGCATATCCGTTGACAGGGATTTTTGCAAGTATGCTGGGGAGTTGCCATATCTTCTTCAATGCGCCTGCGGTGCGCTTCACGTAGCCTGAATACGAGACATTCCAGATTTGCACGAGTTTCGCCTGAATGAGACATCGCATTGTCGAGCGACGGAGCTCGTAAGTGTTGCTTAGATGACTTTGTCGCACTTCGGACTTGGTCGTCGGGCAGGCAGCACAACCGAGGACGAGCAAAGGCCAGCAGATAAATTGTCCGCAGGGCAAAGATGCATCATACATTTCCAACAATACAACTCCCTTGGAAAGTTGAGCCTGGATCTGTGGAGATTGGCTGCTGAGTCCCTCCAAATTGAGAACTTTTGCGATAAATATTTGCGTTGCTATGTAATAGAGCTTTGCGGCAATCTCGGAGTTGCTGATACTGACAGCGACAGTCGATTGGAGAGATGGGATGTTGTCAGAAGCAATCATCGGATAGTCTTCCGCCAGACCCTCCACCTCGGTTGAACACTGCAAAGCAAGTCCATAGAGCTCACAGTGGGCGAAGGGAACCTGTCTGCTCAACCATGTAATCTGGTAAATTTGAAGGAATAGGGCCGGAGGTGTCCTGCCAAGGACAGGCAAGATCAATGGTCCAGTACGTCCGTCTCCTTTTGCGCATTCCAGCGCTTCAATATATTTAATGACGGTCTGGCGGGGAAACGATCTGCAGGTAGCACCAATGTCCTTCTCGAATATAAGCCTCGTAGAGAAATGATATAGGACAGAGTCGAGTAGAGTAAGATGCAATATCGAGAGCTGGCCAATATCAAGACGGGGGATCTCGGCAACTTGGCCTTCCACGATCTTGGCTATGGCGCGATAGTGCGTCAGGCTCGCACTGCACGACGATGAATAGAAGTCCTGATTAATGTCAGTATCGGACAACTGGCAGAGACTCGGGCGGCAACCTCCCTCAAAAACACCGAGGAATAGTGAAGCAGCAAGGAATGCGTCTCTGGGAAAGGATCGACATGTTGTTGGTTGGAGTGCCTGCTGGAAGCCTTGGAGAGCACTTTGAGTGTATAGCATCGCGTCTTCTTTGGGAATCAAGGAAGCAAACGAAGCATGAAGTGCCGCCGGAGCGAGCGCAGAATGCATCACCCATGGCGCATCAAACCCGATTGCGAAAACAAAGGAGACATCTCGAAATTCAGCGGTGGCTTCAGGCGAAGTCAACAGCCTGATGTACCGCGTTGAACAATAATTGAACACGTTCCAGTCCCGCTCCGTCCTCAGTCCGCTATGCTTCTGGCTCAGAGACCTGTGAAGCGTCGGAACTGTTGATGAAACATCCACCGGGTTTTCGGCCACCGTGCTGCTTCGGGCTCTCGGAGATGGAATAGGAGGAGTCCGCGACGCCGTCGTAGGACTTGTGAGTTCCCGGTATATGCATTGAATCTCGAGTCTCCTGCAAGCCCCGCAAATTGGGTGCGCTTCGTCGCATTTTTTCCTTCTCGCCCTACACGTATAGCAGCCAGTTTTGGTCCTTAGTCGAGGAGGTGGTCTTGCCGGCCTCTTCAGCCTGCCAGTGTCCATGATCGGGTCTCGTTGTTGGGTTTGAGTTAGGTCGAAACATTTCGACGGAGATGAGGATGACAAATGGATGGTCCAAAGCTTTCAAAGCATTTTTGTCTGACTGCATTATAAAAGCCGCAAGCACCATATCTGACTGTCAGACCAAAATATACATACAGGGTACAGCACGCCCGATCCCCCCTTCTCGGTCAGCACAGCAACTTCTCGGAGCGTGGAAAAAGGGCTGCACTATGGGTGATTGCTATGTTTATACTGAATTCATCGTTCGACACAGACCCGGCCAGGGCAAGTTGCCGTCCGGCATGGGGATCTTTTGTCTATCGTCACCCTAGTCTATGGCGCAGATCCCTTCGCCCCAAGTCTTTGCTGAATGCGTGTCTCCTATCCTTCAAGACTATACTCCTTCCATATGTTGTTGTATCGTCTAGGTCGTTCCCATGAAAATGTACCAGCCTCCAGACCAAACTCGTCAATGTCGACCACATGCATTTCTCATCAATCGATAACCCAATCCGATCGAACCGAAACGCCAGCGCCGCCCTTTATCGTGGCTCAAGCTTGAATTGATCCTCGAGCTTGAATTGCTGCTCGTTCTGCGGGTCGATATAGTCCATCTGCAATACATGTTGCATAGGTTGCATACTATTCAGCCCTGTGCCTGCACCGCCCTCGTCCATAACGTGATCGTGTCCCAGTATTGGTGGATTGGGGTCCCGAATGAAATGATGCTCAGCCGCTGGGTGACTGAAGTCGCGTGGATCGTGGGGCGATTGCAAATGGGAAGGATCCGTGAAAGCGGGCATTCCTGGCGAGACATAGGCGTTGCTGTTCGGATTATAGTCGGCATCAAGTTGAGCTTGTATCTGTTCCATGATCTGCGGGTCAATGGCCATCTCGTCGTAGGCGTGAAGATGCGCATCCGGGTCATTAACTAGCGGATCATGGTCGTTAGACAAATCCATGGGTTGCTGTATTGACGCGAAATCGTGATCAGATATATGATCGGAGATGTGATTTGTCGTAATGTCCTGATCCCGCTGTGGCATGGCTCGCACCTCGGCTGCTGTTTGTGCAGAATTTGGTGGCTGTGGTGTTTGTGCAGATGGCGCCGTTATTACTGGTGTTGGTGTAGGCTGCCCTGGCTGTGGTTGCAATAGAGCCGGTGGAGCCTCATCAATCGTCCTACTTCGGCCAGGCCGATTCTCCGAGCGTAGTATCATCGACTTATTGAGATCTTTGCATTCAAGACAATTCTTGATGACGTGGCTCACAGTTTCTTTGATCCGGATCCAATGATACTGGGTTGCTATGATGGCGGTGGTCTTGTTGATGCCTGCATGAGCCTGGAGATGGATCCTTTTGGCGATATCGTACTGTGCTTGAGGGTCTGAGATGACCTCTTTGTCCTTCAAAAACAATTTCTCCGGGCCTCCATCCGCATCAGCGACTAGTTTATAGTGAGTAGCAGCACTCCTTAGTCGACTTTTCTCCGATCTATCGGCACCTTGCGGGTAGAGCTGATGTCTCAAGTAGTACCTTATCTTGTCGAAGCGCTCTTCAGAGACGTCATTTTCCCCCTCTGCTCTGAGATCCCTGCCGTAGATGATTGCATCGACAGGTTCCTCCGATGATTTTAAATGTCCACAACCGGGGACTCTTCCGATCCTCTTGAAACCAAGCGAATCCCATATCCTCGTAGAAGCAGTGTTTGTCTCGTAAACCAAGTTGAATACTGAATAGGTATACCCCTAGCAAAGATCAGCTTTGTGTGCCCTCACCTGGGCTCGTACCGCCGAACCTACCAGCTGAGGTGCCCAATCTAGATAGCATTGTCCCATCGATTTCCCGACGCCCTTGTTACGAGCCGCAGGAGTGACTAGAAACCCACCATTGCAGACATGACTGCTTCGACCAGGATAATTGGGCTTGATATAAAAGCTGCCCAGGCACTTTTTGTTCCAGTCAACGCCGTCGTGATCCATGTCGGACACGGCCTCAATGCCTCCAATGTCACCGAGAACCATGACAGCACCAAAATTGCCAAACCAATAGGGCCCAAAAGTTTCCAGTGGTAGAGGATTGATCATGGGGTACGTGTCCCCACCCTCAATTTCCTTGTTGAGCTGCTCCGAGAGATATGCAAGAAGTCTCTTTGGCACGGCATCCGGAGAGAAGAATGGTATTAGGGTTGCAACAGTGACACGGTCTCGAAGTGTGACAGGTCTGGGGAATATCGACGAAGGTATGTGCGGATTGTCTGAGGTCGGGTACGGACTCTGACCCGAAGCCCGATAGACTACAGGCGATTCTGGATCCTCCAACAATGCCGGCATCTTCAACCGTCCGCCGCAAATCAGCCGGCTGAGTTGTAAAGATCTGTCAATTCTGATTCTAGGGGTCAGCGACGATCAAGGAGCGGTGGCCTCTCGATACGCAAGTACTTGGAAGGATAGTGAAAAGGTAAAAGTTGAACATTGGGGAACGTGATCGTCCAATTTTGTCGCTAGCTCACGACACGTGATATTTCCTTGGCAAGCTAATCCTTTTCTGGCCGCAAACCGATACGAAGAAATTATCAGGCAAGCCGACAGTAGGATCAGGCTGAGATAAAGGAGGTGACTCGGATTATATATTAAACACTAGTCATAATGGAACGCCTCGCAGCCATAACTGTGTGCTTTCTCTGAGTCTGCTTTCAAGTCGCGACATCGCCGTCCCCATGGGGCCCTCGCTCGCCCCGACGTACTGTGGTCCGTCTCCGCACATATTGTACAGGTTAAAAATAGCTACTTTACCCAAAACTCAAGCAAAAGGGATGAGTTTCGGTAGAGTATGTGACATTCGAAAAAATCGTGCAAATGGTTGAAGATGAATTGCCGAGTGCCCAGGGGCCAGGCTGGAGGTTTCTCCGGAGTACTCCGGGGCTGTCGCATAGCGATAAAGGTTGCTGACAATGTCTTCTGGAGGAGTGGTTTGCAAGGTCTTGAGAAAGATTTTGGCCAGTCTCGGCACCATGTAGAGCACAGCGGCGCCAGCTGCAGAATTGAGGTGTGACGTGACGGAATATACTACGTCGGCCACCAACGCTGCTGCCTCCTTGATCGATTTAAAAATTCGTCCGAGGCTTCAAACGTATCTGGGCGGTCATCCGTGGCGATGTTTCCACCAACAGTTTCCGTTTGGCATTGTGGCGCTGCCGCAGAGCTGGCATCTGAGTAGACCTGCTTAATTGTCAGAAAACGAGAAGTTCTCGTTCGACGTTGCAATCATTCCGAGCTCGAGGTTCTATCGTTAATTGGCCGAATTGCCCTCCGAAGTAAGATCTCGTCAAGCCGCAAGACATCGGGAAGCTTTCATGGACAGTATAGATTGATGAGCAAACAGCGAAGGAGCTAAAGCATCATTTCATATATTCTTTCATACTCCAACGTTTCGAGCCCGACATGTGCGCGGGAACACCGACATACATGGGCTGGTCTTCATTTTCGATTGGAGGCAGAGCCGAAAGTTCTGGGCTGTTCACACGATTGTTTGAAGAGTCTGAAAGCGGCATTTCGTAGGACCTGCCGCTCATAGATTCCGAACCACTACCCATTGCCGTAGTGTTCATGGAAGACGCCGGCCCCTTCGTAGCAGACAGGCCCAGAGAATGGTGCTTGGACCCGGTCGACTCATAAGGGCGACCAGCTTGGAATATGTCCTTTTCCTCGGCGCCGGTTAGATCGGTATTGGCCTTCGCTAGCCCGTTGAGACGGCGTGAATATCGCTGACCAAGCAAAAACGACAGAATTACTAGCAGGATGACTCCTATAGCGACACCAATGCCAATCCCAGCCTTGGCACCAGCGGTGAGTCCTTTGGATGGGGATGAAGAGTGTGACGCTTGGGACGGAGGATTGGTTCCGGTGGCTGCCAATGATGAATTGGGTTGGTTTGTTGTGGATGCTAACGCTGTAGATGTGTCACTCGAGGTCGTTGAGGCACTGGTTGCTTGGGCAGACGCAGTAGTCCGCAACGTTTCCGAAGCAGATGTAGTGGTCAATGAAGGTGTATCTGACGTAGATGCTGCCGTTGCAGGAGATACACTGGAAGCAGTTGTCTAATTGCATTCTAGTCAGTTATCTGATACGAGAAAGTGGACAGAGGTTGTCAATGACGAAAGGACTGTCTTATGGCTCATATAGATTCCAGGACAGAAAACGCAATGCAGCTTGCCGAGAATACGATAGCGAAAGGCTTACCGTAGCGATCGGATCTGGACCGAAAATTGTCGAATAGCCAATGGTACTGATGACTACTTGATTTGTCGTCAAAGAGACGGTCGAGATGATCGTACTAGTTATCGAACCGGCTACAACTCCTGTTGATGTTATTGTTGTTGGGCTGCCATCGATCGTGGTGGTGATTGTCGCCAGTGCATTCGGTGCCGCGTCGGTCGCGGGAACGACTGAATAGACCGTCACCAAAGACTGTACGACGGTCGATACAGTTAGAGTTGAGAGGATGGGATCTGTTGCGACAGGCACTGAAGGTAATGCATTGCAGAAACAAAGGAAAATACTCAGAGCCAGCACATAGAGGAGTTCCTGCTGGCCCATTATTGTGCTCATGGCACTGTAAAGATCAAACAAGCGTTTGTGCAGTTTCAAATGAGAGTTGCGAAGGCAGGCAGGGGGATACGGCGAGATTTGAGCTAGAAAAAGTAGTTGCCTCGTGGTGCTGACGGAATTTCAGGGCCCAACCATGTCAAGCTCGTCTGCCGTGGGGGATTTGCGAGAATTGCCGAACGGCCTAGACACTCGAGAACGAGCCGGCGTCATCTTTCCGTTGTGGGATCTGAGGCTTCATGCTAAATTATCGCTGGCTTCAGGGCTGGGGATGATTATCGAGAGAATGCGCAAGTGGGAATAGGGGCAAGTAGGGGTTAGCAGAAGGCTGAGCATGAAGCGATATCATTGGCCAGATCGAAGGCTGACGTTTTCCCGTTTTCGGGCAGTGGAAATTGGATGGTTCGCGCAGACTCCGACACAACTTCCCTGGGTTGGTGACCTTTCAACACGCGTTCCAGCGCGTTGTGGGGGGTCTCCATTAGCCTGACTCCAGATAAGGATAATCTTGATTAGCTGTTTAGCGAATTCTGCTTCTTTTATGTTGCTCGATGACAAGGAATAGAGAGCCATTTGACGGTACCACAAGAAGAAAAAAAAAAAGCGAGGACAGAAGCAGGATGCAGACAAAGAAAGTTGAGAAAAGGCGCGTCGGTGGCACGTGGATCTGAGGAGTAAGGCCGACAAAGGCAGGTGCCTGGGGTTGAACACAGAGTCCTGCGGAGGTTCATTGAAGGTTTGGCGCTTCATGCAGCCTTGCCTCAAGGCTTAAAAAGCAGGTCCTTCATGCCCAGCAAACCAACTAGTTCGTGACGTCCTTGCACATCTTGATCTTACTCGTACCATGCACGAGTAATCCCCCCCCCGGGCAGTGCAGCCCTGTTGATGTCTCGCGCCGGGAAGAAACCATATGCCGTCTGTTCTCGATCAACCCCGTGTATATGGTCCACTTCTGTAAAGTGTACCGTCTATGTTCGGATTGACATGTCCCGAGCCACGATGACCGTCCTGATAACGAGGCCTCCATCTATGGAAACAGCAATGGCCAAAGCCTGACTCCTTAACATCTCGTCTTGTCATTGTCCTGTGCGACTTCCGACTTGCCCAGGCGTTTCTCAGGATAGTCTAGGGACCGCAGCTTCCTTGTGCGCCTAAATGTGCCTTTTTGATCGCACAAAGACCACTGTTTGTCTCTTCACGGATGAGCTGTTATCTCGGCAGCAGGTTCATGTTCCCAGGTGGACTCGTTCGAGGGTCTTTTCGACAACGGGTAAGAAATCGGCCGTTTGATTTGCGTCTCGCAGGACTGCAGTCACATCATCCCTCCTCCTCGCCAATTCATCGCGAACCCTTTCATACGCTTCCTCCTTTGCGATGTATTCTCTGATTGCCTCCTTCTTCCCGAAGTCAATGTACAGCCTGGTATCGCGTAACCTGACCACCACGTTGTCCAGTCTCATAAAGAATCGACAGAGCAGGAGTAATCGTGCAGGCATGACTCGGATCTTGCATGAAAGCATGGCAATGCCATTATCAGCAAGCTCATCCTCGTACAGAATCACATCATCGAAAAACAGAATGGGGTCTGGTTGCTTCAATAGCTCCAAGGGGATAGCGTCGCTTGCAGCGTGAAACGCAGGACTGCCAGGCGCAAGATCACCTTTATAGTCAGTGGTATAAGACCAGTCGAACGGTTTGATGACTTCTTTGATGTCATGCGTGTCTTCTCTGCTCTGTTGCCATTCTTGGGAGTAGGCGACCTTTAGCCTCCTCTCCCCCGTCTTGTCAACTCGATCAAGCGCTCCGAAGGCGTCAAACTTGATCCCCCAATGCGAAGATGCGTGTTCAATTGCCACGTAGTTATCGCCAAAGATCATTTCAGGTGGAGCTATTCCAAGCCTATTTGTCATCTCTTCAATAGGCCCAGCCTTCAGGATAGGCAATTTCTGGGTAGTAATGCGAAAGCCTTCAATGGAGAAGGACCGCGGCGGAGCAGCAGAGGGCGAGGGGAAAGTTGTGTTGAAACCATCAGGCGGTCGATGACCGTTGGCCGCCATGGCGACTGCGTCAACTGCGACGTCACCTGGAGCCTTGCTAAACACCTCTTGTAGAGGTGGAAGTCCGAATGAGAACAATGATTTGGTGTTCGGCGTCGAGCGAAATCAGAGGTGAGCAAATCGCAGAAACCTCTTCGGCGCCTCTTGGGGCGGCGCAGGCTAGTGCGGGGAAGCCAAAGAGAGGAGGTGCGAGGCTTAGTGAGGCGGTTGCCCCTGCCGACGATCAGTGTTTATGCCAAGACCTGGTCGACTTCGATAGATGACCAAGTCCCCGAAAACCACCGATTGCCACCACGATACCACTATACCCAACTGCGCCCCGATTGTATTCATCTTGGAGTCGGCGATACTTGTTTCTATTCGGTCTCTCTTTCTCTTTCTCCCGTCCCTCACCGCAAGCCCTCCCGCAGAATGGCAACTAAAACTCTGGAATCCCGCTTCGAGCACCTCAGCGTCAACGACGAAAATGAAGCACCACCAGCCACCACTCTCAAATCAAAGGTAGCTTGTTTCATTAATGACCTCTCTTGTTTGTGGGCCATGTCTAACTCTACCATAACAGAGCGGCGGTCCAGGAGGATTACCAACCGTGTCCTCAACTCAGTCCCGGACAAATCTTGTCAAGTATCCTCTCCAAGTCACCACAGAATCCAAGCAGAACACAGCATCAATCGCAACGATAACAACCACAACCACTGTGCCCACCCACCCGCCTTCGCCCGTGCGGGTAGCGCTCCAAGCACCCCGCGAGTCTGACGAGAGCGATGATTCCCAGCGAAGTAGATCCACTCCAAAATACTTCTTCGACCACCCACAAGCACCCAAACAATTCCACCTCGGTATGTTTGAGATTGGAAAGCCGCTAGGGAAGGGAAAATTCGGTCGAGTTTATCTTGCACGTGAAAGATCATCGGGATTCGTTTGCGCCTTGAAGGTCCTTCACAAATCCGAGCTTCAACAAGGCAAGGTGGAGAAGCAAGTCCGACGAGAAATCGAAATTCAGTCCAACCTAAGACATCCCAACATTCTCAGGCTCTTTGGCCATTTCCACGATAGCAAGCGAGTGTTCTTGATTCTCGAATTCGCCGGCAAGGGTGAGCTGTATAAGCATCTCCGCAAGGAAGGTCGTTTCCCCGAATGGAAAGCCGCGCAATATATTGCCCAGATGGCCGCGGCTCTCAAGTATTTGCACAAAAAACACGTCATGCACAGAGACATCAAGCCCGAAAACATCCTGGTCGGCATACACGGGGAAATCAAGATTTCTGACTTTGGATGGTCAGTTCACGCCCCGAACAACAGAAGACAAACAATGTGCGGCACATTAGATTACCTCCCACCCGAAATGCTTAAACCAGGAAGCTCGGACAATTTCTACAATGAAAAAGTCGATCTGTGGAGTTTGGGTGTCCTGACTTACGAGTTTCTGGTTGGTGAAGCGCCCTTTGAGGACACCACGATCATGACACAGCGAAGGATTGCACGATGCGACATGGCAGTTCCCAGTTTCGTCAGTCCAGAGGCAAAGGATCTAATCATGCGAGTGAGTGAATCCCAAACTCCTCCCAGTATCCGTGGAGAGTTGCTAACAGGGGGTTACCACAGCTTCTGGTCCTTGACCCCGAGAAGCGGATTCCACTTGAGGATGTTCTCCGCCATCCCTGGGTTGTGAAGCACTGTGCCACAAAAGGTGGCGAACGGGGCTTCCAGAGAGCGTCCGGAACTAGCAAGGACAGAGACTCGAGCTCAGATTCATGACCCCTTATCGATAAGCCTTCAGATGCTTGGGATATGACGGGGACGAATTGACCGGTCTTTCGCAAAGAGGACTGCTTGGGGACGGAAATGAGCGATTTTTTTTATTACGAAGATCAATGTGGCAATTCAAAGGGAATGGGTACTGGCATTGGCTCGTCTTCTGATTTGGAGAGTGTTTGTTTGGGATACATGGCCGGCGAATGGTGTATATTGATGGGAAATGGCTGAATGGATGAACCTTCTTTCCATGCCTGTACTGTTCAAACAGGTGGTTTGTCTCTTTTGCAAAACTTGCTTGACCTGAATGAAGATCCTTTTGGTTTCCGCACTTTGCTCTCATATAATCCGCCGTAGATGAGGTATGGTGGAATGTGAACGAGCCAAGTGCAGAAATGACAAAATGCAATGACGAAACCGCAAATCATGCCGTAGCCTTTCATTCTTGTACGATACGCGGATTGCGATATTTCGATTGTATAAATTCGACTATAGAGGTATATACCTTCGCCAGACTCTGCATTTGAACCAGGATTCTTCTAGTTCTCGGGCAAGTGTCCGATATAAACTGATACGGACTTCTCCTATGAAGAACCATCTGATTCTCTAGCGTGACTCTTCAAACTTGTTCTGGGATCCAGCAGAGAACATTTGTTCCGCTGGTTCTCAAACTCGGTCTCTGTATTCACTTTTATCAAGGACTTAGACACGATGGGGGATGCGGGGGGCGCAGAAAGAGGCATTCGCATTGCCATCGACGTGAGTTAGATGGTTTACTAATGCGTCGGCAAAGATCTAACAGGATGCAGCGAGGAGGCACGTTCACGGACTGTGTTGGGAATCCGGGAACAGGCCGTATGGAAGATGACATTATCATCAAACTTCTGTCCGAAGACCCCTCAAATTACGACGACGCCCCGCTGGAAGGGATTCGAAGGCTCATGTCAAAATTTACGGGCCGAGAGATTCCCAGAGGTGAGCCACTTGACACAAGCAAGATAGAAAGTATTCGCATGGGCACGACTGTTGCAACCAACGCATTATTGGAGCGGAAAGGAGAGAAAATGGCCATGGTCGTCACGAAGGGGTTTAAAGACTGTTTGGAGATAGGGAACCAGTCCCGCCCCAAGATCTTTGACCTAGCTATCCGAAGGCCTGATGTGCTCTATCAGAGGGTCGTTGAGATCGATGAACGAGTGACGTTGGAAGACTATGCCGAAGATCCTGAACGGCATAAGACAAAAACCGAAAACAGCCACGAGGACTACAAACACAGCAACCTTGTTCAAGGCCTGTCAGGAGAGGCGGTCAGAATATTAAGAAGACCCGACGAGGACAAGATCAAGCAACAACTTAAGGAGCTTTACGATGAAGGCTTCCGAAGCATCGCCGTATGCTTGATGCATGGCTACACGTTTCCCGCTCACGAAGCATTGGTCGGCAAGCTTGCGCGCGATACTGGCTTTCAGCACGTAAGTCTAAGTCATGAACTTATGCCAATGATCAAATTGGTGCCTCGAGCCACATCAGCCTGTGCAGATGCCTACCTTACACCAGCCATCAGGAAATACATTTCTGGCTTTCAAGCCGGTTTTGAAGGTGGGTTGGGCACGGAGAGTGTCAAGAAAGAGGGAGGTGATAGAGGCGCAAGGTGCGAGTTCATGCAGTCCGATGGAGGTCTTGTAGACGTGGATCAGTTCTCTGGCTTGCGGGCCATTCTGTCCGGACCCGCGGGTGGTGTTGTTGGCTATGCATTGACATCTTACGATCCAGAGACCAAAACCCCGGTCATAGGGTTCGATATGGGCGGGACGAGTACAGATGTCAGCCGATACGGCGCAGGACGGTATGAGCACGTATTCGAGACCACCACGGCAGGAGTCACTATCCAATCCCCTCAGCTCGATATCAACACCGTTGCCGCAGGAGGCGGATCCCGGCTATTCTTTAGAAATGGGTTATTCGTGGTAGGGCCCGAGTCTGCTGGCGCACATCCTGGACCAGCATGCTACAGAAAAGGCGGCCCACTCACCGTGACCGACGCAAATCTCTTCCTCGGTCGACTGCTCCCGGACTTCTTTCCTAAGATTTTCGGCAAACATGAAGACGAAGGGCTTGATCCAGAGGCCAGCAAGAAACTCTTCGAAGAGCTCACAAAGGAAATCAACAGCAAGACAAACAAGAACATGTCAGCGGACGAGGTGGCGTATGGTTTCATCAAGATTGCCAATGAGACTATGACGAGACCTATTCGATCACTCACCGAGGCGAGGGGACACGACACTTCACAGCATCGACTCGCGACATTCGGCGGCGCAGGAGGCCAACATGCTGTTGCCATTGCCGAATCCTTGGGCATCAGACAGATCCTCGTCCATCGATACTCTTCCGTTCTATCCGCGTACGGGATGGCTCTCGCCGACGTCGTGGACGAAAGTCAAGTTCCCGAATCTCACGTTTGGGATATGAAAAGCGGTTCCTCCCGCGATGATTTAAAGGCGAAAATGAACGAACTCAAAGAACGTTCCCGCAAACGCTTAAAGGACCAGGGCTTTGGAGACGACTCGATCGAGTACGAAGAATATCTCAACATGCGATACCGCGGCACCGAGTCGGCATTGATGGTAATCAAGCCCGGCTCAGACGAAGCAAAGGAACTTTACAACGGCGACGACTGGGCCTTCGGTGACGCATTCGTCCGCCAGCACGAGCTGGAATTCGGCTTCACCTTACCGGACCGAGACATCATCGTGGACGACGTGCGCGTACGTGGGATTGGGAAGTCCTTTCGGGGCATGTCCAAAACGGCAGACCAGCAACTCAAGGAAATCACGCCAAAAGACGTGGCGGAGGACAAGGCTTACACGACATCGCAGGTCTACTTTGAAGGCGGCCGTCTCCCCACAAAGATCTACAGACTCGAGGATCTGGAGGTGGGCACACGGATCCCTGGTCCCGCCATCATCGCCGACGGGACGCAGACAATCATCATCGACCCCAAGGCGTCGGCATTGATTATCGAGACACACGTGGTGATCAACATTGGCGAAGAAGGGACGGCGAAAAGGGCCAACACCAAGGATGTCGATCCCATCTTACTCTCGATCTTCGCGCACCGCTTCATGGCCATCGCCGAACAGATGGGGCGAGCGCTGCAAAAGACCTCTGTCAGCACAAACGTGAAGGAACGGCTGGATTACTCCTGTGCCCTCTTCGACGCTGAAGGCGGCCTCGTTGCCAATGCCCCTCATCTGCCCGTCCACCTGGGGAGCATGTCGACCTGTGTGCGCACACAGGCAGAGATCTGGAAGGGCAAGCTGAAAAGGGGGGATGTGATCGTCTCCAACCATCCGGAATACGGGGGCACGCATCTTCCCGACATCACGGTCGTCACGCCCGCCTTTTCCGGCGACAAGATCATCTTCTACGTCGCCTCTCGCGCCCACCACGCCGACATAGGCGGCATTTTGCCTGGCAGCATGCCTCCTCACTCGCGTGAACTGTACCAAGAAGGCGCCGCGATCAAATCCGAGAAACTCGTGTCGCAGGGCAAATTCGACGAGAAGCGCATCACCGAACTTCTGTATGACGAACCGGCCCGGTACCCCGAGTGCAGCGGCACACGGTGCCTGGCAGACAACATCAACGACCTCAAGGCGCAGGTCGCCGCGAATCAAAAGGGGATCAACTTGATCAGTGCGCTCATCGAGGATTACGGCGAGGAGGTGGTGCAGTTCTACATGCAGAACATCCAGGACAATGCCGAGCGATCGGTGCGAGAGTTGTTGAAGGAAGTGCACCAGAGGTTTGAAGGTCAGCATCTTCAGGCGATGGATTTCATGGATGACGGCAGTCCCATCTGCCTGAAAATAAAGATCGATGCGGAAAAGGGGGAGGCCCTGTTCGATTTTGAGGGTACGGGACCAGAAGTATATGGAAACATCAACGCGCCTGAAGCGGTGACTTACTCGGCCATCATTTACTGCTTGAGATGTTTGATCGATCAGGATATTCCCCTTAACCAAGGGTGTTTGAAGCCTGTGGACGTACGCATCCCGTCGGGCTGTTTTCTCTCTCCCAGTGAGAAGGCCGCCGTGGTGGGCGGTAACGTCTTGACCAGCCAACGTGTCACGGATGTGGTGTTCAAGTGCTTCGAAGCATGTGCAGCGAGTCAAGGAGATTGTAACAACTTGACTTTTGGCTTTGGCGGGAATGTGAACGGGAGCGCGGAGCAGAAAGGTTTTGGATATTATGAGACTATTGCGGGCGGGAGTGGTGCGGGTAAGGATTGGGAGGGCACAAGTGGTGTGCACACACACATGACAAATACTAGAATCACAGATGCTGAGGTCTTTGAGAGGAGATATCCAGTGATTCTCAGAGAGTTCAGTCTGAGGGCTGGCAGCGGTGGCGTGGGACAGCACAAAGGCGGAGACGGCGTCATTCGAGACATCGAGTTCCGCATCCCTGTGCAGGTCAGTATCTTGAGTGAGAGGAGAGTGTACAGGCCCTATGGTTTGCATGGTGGAGGTGATGCTCAATGTGGTAAGAACATCTGGGTTAGAAAGATCAAGAAGGGGGAGGTCAAAGGCTTGGGGGGCGAACATGAAGGGAAGCGAAGAGAAGCTGGCAACGAGGATGAGTATGTGGAAAGGTATATCAACCTCGGAGCGAAGAACACTGCCAGGATGCAGCCTGGCGAGAGGATCATTGTGGTAGGTCATATCTGTTCTGTTTCGACGCCGCGTGCAAGAGTGCAGTGCTGACTGATTCCTCTTTATAGATGACACCCGGCGGCGGTGGGTATGGCAAGGCGGGTGAGAAGTCTCAAGTCCAGATGAGAGAGGACTATGAGAAGCATTGGAAGAAGGGAAGTCTGGCTTCCCGACTGGCAGAATGGGAGTCTAGCTCTTGATAGCCTCCATTACCGAAGCCTAGAAAGCGTCATTTAATCCCTTGTCAGGTCAGCGAGACGCTCGCGAAGGCCGATCGATACGTACCATCAAGCCCTATTCATGTAGAAGCGCCGGCGAGCATGACCACTCGGTGGTCTCTTAGATTGAACTTCCCAACGGAGTCCGTCGAGGACCACTCGACGCTCTTCTCATTGAAGCTATTCATTCCCTCGCAAGCGTGAATTCAGATGATCTCATTCATCTTCGTCGCTTGTAGCTTCAATATTTTGCTTCTTTCTCGTCTCCTCATCTTCTCCCTCCCCTTCATTATTTTCCTCGTCCGTAGGAGGTGCGCTTCCGTCGTAGTTTGGTCGAGGCACTTTTTCGCCTTGTCCCTTGAGCACAGCTTCAATCTGAGGCATAATTTGAATGAGAGCCGAATACTGTTCAATGCTCATTGAGATGCCCTGGGATGATGGATCAGCACTTTCACTCACATGTGACACAAGCACGGCACGCATACCTTCTTTCCTGGCAGCCACTCCTTGTCCTTCTCGTAATACTCTCTGATGTTGACCAGTCTCTTCCCCTTGAACTCGGAAAGGGTCACCCGCCGCGCCTTTGATATCTCCCAATACGTGTTTCCGTCTGAATCAACCTGCGGTTTGGAGGAAGGTGTGAAAGCATTCCCCGCGGTGCCTTTCCCACGTTTGGTGGTGGATACATCAACGTCACTATCGTCGTCGGCTGCGGACTTTCTCTTCTTGGAGACGAGGAGCATGTTGTTGCCGTGTGACAAAGAAGTGATGTACGCGTTGTGAAGGTATTCGAAGGTGTATGGATGGGAGGGATTCTTGAAATGATCTTTCTTGTCTTTCTTAGGTGTCTTTGGGTTGTTCTTCCGCGTGGCCTCCATCTTTACCAAAGATCAACGCGAACTCCGATCCGGGCGCGTCGTCGTTGTCGCTCGCGATTACTCGATTCGATTTCCCCACGCCAGTCGTAATTCGGAAAGCACGACCGAGCTAAGGCGACGTCATCCCTAAAAGAGGATTAGCGTATATGTCACGTGTAAAACAACCAATGAAAGGCCATCACACCGCCCCTCATTTTGCCATCGAAGCATCGACATCTTTCGTCAATTACTTTTTGACGCAACAACCTCTCAATTATTTCAGACTCAGTTCAACAACCTACACACTCTTTCTACCAAGTCTAACCCTACAGGTCTTCACCGCACCACCAACCACATCATTCATATACAGCTACTAACAGTCACGATGTCACGACGGGCTCTCCTTTCCGTCCCACGCGCCATGCGCACCTCGGTCCAAACCTCCGCTGTCCGACCGAGTCTCGCCTCCCCGTCATCGCTCAGACCCGCCGCCGCCGTCTCGCAGCAGCGACGAAGCTACCACGAGAAAGTCCTTGACCATTACTCAAACCCGAGAAATGTCGGCTCCATGGACAAATCTGCGTTGGACGTTGGAACAGGTAGGTAGATTTGGAAAAGTTTACACAAACACGCCCTCCGAGCTCGGCCTTTCCCCTGCGGAAGAGAGCGAGCTTCGGTCGAAAGCCTCTATGTCCACAATCGCTGACATATCCGTCACTACGCAGGCCTCGTCGGCGCCCCCGCTTGCGGCGATGTTATGAAACTGCAAATTAAGGTCGATCCCGACACCCAAACGATCAGCGATGTGAAGTTCAAGACCTTTGGATGTGGCTCCGCGATTGCCTCCTCATCGTACCTCACCGAGCTCGTGCGCGGTATGACATTAGAACAAGCAGGGAAGATCCGCAACACGGAGATTGCAAAGGAGCTGTGCCTGCCGCCGGTCAAGTTACACTGCTCTATGCTCGCTGAGGATGCTATCAAGAGCGCCATCGGTGACTATTACAAGAAAAGTTAGACCCAACATCTCTCGAGAGACAATTTGGATGGAGATAGCTGACTCAATATGTTCTAGACCCCAAGGCTAGGGCGACAGATTTGGGTTCCGCATCGGCGCCGATGCCCAAGATTGAAATTGAAAGGGTCACTGCAACAACCGATACGGGTGCCAGTGCGACGGCTTGAGGAAAACTCGAGATTGGAGAGTTGAACAGATCCTGCGAGTGAAGCAGCCAGTGGCAGGATAAAATTGTGTCAATAGGCAGATACCCTTTTTCTTCACAAACGGCAGGAGTATAGGTCGATTTGCAAATTGAACGGTTGATTCAATCAAACAACTCTACTGGAATAGTTACAAGCTTGCTGCTCGGTGTGTCGCTTCACCCCTTGAGCGGTTTGAGTACTTGGACCTGTTGCAGAGCTTATTTGATGTTTGGAGGGGAAGACGATGGCGATTGTGAACAGGTGTAGCTGAGCGTGTTGGGGTACGTGTGTGTGAATTCTGCAACGTGCCCCGATGCCAGAAGTCAAGCTCTTCATGCAGGTTATCCCAGGCGATATATGAGTGAGAATGGCAACATGACAATTGTTAACTTGTCGCTACTTAGTCCTTTTCTCAGGTTTCCGTTGGACCTTGGCATCTCGGCCCACTGAGATGCTGATGCTTGTGCCACTATTAGTAGCACTTGGCATTTCTAGGTTTATCCTCCGTTTATAGTAGGGAGACAGTTCAAATTTGGGTATCATAGGGAGTATGCTATCGCTCGGCGGACAGGTAGGTATTTGTTCTGACTGCGAGGGATATACTTACGATATATGAGCAACTCTATATATACTTATATATGTATGTCTATACTGCCCCAAAAAGTTATCGGACTCGGCCGCTCGTTTTATTGACTAGCCGCTCTACCATGGCACTTCTTCACCCGTGTACGTGTAGAACTTGCCGCTATCCGAGTCCTTAAGCTCGTGCAAAACGTTTAGCATTCCCTAGGTTCTCCATTAGAATCGATAATCTGTCTGTGTCCGCAAAAAAAGAAAGAGAGCCTGATGAGGGGCGAGGATGAGAAGCACTTACTCTAATGCTGACTTCGGGTTCTAGGATCGCGCCCTCTCCGCCCATTCGAGTCTTGACCCAACCTGGGGTAGAATGTAGCTGATCAGCTTTGCCTTCCTTTTTGCTTCTGTCTGGAACAAAAAGGCGCGCAATCCAAGCTTGTAGAGGAAACCTACCGGGATCCATGCATATGACCTTGATACCTCGATCTTTCAATTGTTCGCTTTGATGCACAGTCAACATGTTCACCGCGGCCTTGGAGATGGAATACGTCGTGCACTTTGGTCTGCAGCACAAGCACCGTTAGGCAATTTTCTTCTCTTCTCGTGCAAAAGGGCTTGGGGGCAAGGGGAATGGGAAAACGAGACACCGAGGCCGCACATTTTCTTCCCACAGCTTCCCAGTCCACTGGTCATGTTCATCACCACACTGCCCTTGCCCAGATACGGCAGTAGAACCTTCACCGTCTCGGCCGGACCCATGACGTTGACGTCGATGTGGTTCCGTAGACTGTCGGCCGTCATATCCAAGCTGGTTTGCTCCGAGGTGGCGTTGATGCCGGCATTGTTCAGAAGATAGTCAATCTGCTTCCCTGCTAGTGGTTCCTTGACAGCATCGCCAAAAGCGTGGATTGACTTCAAGTCAGCGGTGTTGCATTCCAGAATATGGACCTTGCCCGCGGCCTTGGAAGCGAGTTGCTTGAGTTCATCGAGCTCCCCTTGAAGGCTTCGCACAGCGGCAATGACGGTGTCGGAACCGTCTGAAGATAGTTGACGGACGAATTCAAGACCCAGGCCTCTATTTGCGCCCGTCAGGACGTACGTTGGCATGGTGAAAATATGCTTGTCGGAAGGAATTGAGCGCCAGAAGGACAAGGACAGGATCGGCAATGATGCGAGGCAATATTGATATATCTATATCCTATTTAGCCTATTATTACTTGTGCCTGCTTCAACCTCACCAGACTCCCCCCTCGCGACCTCACTCTATTCAGCCGCCATTTAACCCCAAAGATGTTCAAGACGTGCTTGAGAGGCGGCTCACTATTGCAATCTCAGCCTCAGATTGACGAGGCTCGAGCTGATTGAGCATAACAGATGAACCCTGCAAAAGATACACAACCTGGCCCCCAGGTTTCGCCTCCGGCCTCGCTTGAAGGGCCAAGTTTCAAGGTCCGCTGGAGAGTGCATACTACCATGGATGGGCCCATTTGCAAGTCTTCATATTGGGGGATTGGTGCCTGCCCCCGTGTCCGCTCCATCCACCCTGACTTGAGAGAAGACTGCGAAGATCCAAACAGCCGGCGTTTACAGAGGCCCGGCTGGCCGACGTGGCTTGTGGCCTAAAACTTGTCCTATGGGCATCCCCGTTGCGAGGAGTCCACCCTGTACTCTGCACGGAGCTCGTCGTGGTACTTAGTGTGCTAACTACTCGCTTGCGCCTATGTTGGAGTGAGGCTGACGCTTGGCGACCGCTCAGGGTTTATCACTCGTTGCGGCGGCGCGGAAGATACCTGGTACAACTACCAGCCATCGACTTCGCCTCCAAACTTGATGGCTTCATCGATATTCAGCTACAATATTTCTCGTCCATACCCTTTTAAATGGTTCACTCCCGTGACGATTGTCGGAGGCGCTGGTGCGCTGGTACGCTGGTGCTTTTCTCCTTCTTAAACCTGTTATCAACAGGATATTACCAGAGGCAATGTACCAAGCTCAAGCTGTTTGAGCATGACCGATCCCTCTGGCTGACACGTCGCAGCGTTGAGTATGTCACGGACCCGAACTCCACCATGTCCAATGCAGAATGGAGATGGTTGCATTATTGGCCTTCCTACTTCACAAGCCAAATAAAGCCGTCCTGCTAGGCAGAGGGTATTCAAGTCAACATCAGTATATGCGCGGAAGGAGAGAGTTTGACGATAGGATCATTAGTGGACTAATAGGGGTTTAGGATTCTTCGCCAACCAGACCGGCCTCACATACACCATTACAGGTGTATGGACGACATCACCGGATCGTTCCAACACGCTCGTTTCGCCAGCGCTGACCTATTTCAACAACCCGATC